AAATAAATTGGAGGTACATGAACATTCAAAAAATTCCCAGAGAGTCACATTGCACAACTTAATGGGCCTGGTGCCTTCACCTGTGCCAATTTTATGTGACTCTTAACTCTGGTCTTAAATAAAAATGAGGCTTGCTCTAATGACATCTACAGCCTTCAGTGAAGAAAATATGCTTCTACTTTGATACAGATCCCCTTTTAAGGAGGACACCGTAGACAGCCAAAGCTCTTTTTCCCATCTGGTAGGTGAATGTTACAATTCCCTGCTCAGAACTGTGGCCTCAACAACAATCCTCTGCCTTCAGCATGAGATGATTTTATTAAGAATATGGCTATCTGCTACCCCTGCTTTTGCCACCTTGATTTTACTGTACCTCTCCAGTACATGAAAGGATGGAAAAGGGGGGTATGAGTTGCCTGGGGGAGGGGAGACAATAGCATAAGCAGGGGGTTAAATGAACCAGCTGCTATGTGTGAAGTATCTGCTTTCTAATTGTTTCTGTTGGAATTCAGGGGGAAAAGGCACTGGCTTCAGTTAATTAATAAGGCAGGACTCACATCAACTCCAGCTGTGCGCACAGAACTGGTCTTTAAAGGAAAAGCCCAGGAGGTGGGGCAGAGAGTTTGATTTCCTTGCACTAAATCCCATCACATGCTGCTGGTTCTGTGTGTGTCTACTTAAGCCTTTTGGTTGGCCTGTCTGAACCAGACATGAGGGATCTGTTGCTGTCCACGTGCCTCACCCCAAGAAAAATGATCTCTCCTCAGAAATCAAAGGTGTAAGGCTATGTTTCAAGCTAGAGTGAAACTGCTGTGTTTTCACTCGAGTTTGGAATCCCTAAAAAGTGGGGATGTTTGGATCAAAGGGTTTTTTCAGACTTAACAGAAGCTTGGGCTTTTGCAGCTGGACACAGATACAGGTTTGCCATTTGGTTCTCTTTTCTGTCTAGTTCCAGAGGGTTGGGATTTGGCATCCTGTCAACATCTCTCTCATCTGAGCCCTGCCTCAGGAGCTTTGCTGGAAGGGTAGCACTGATGGGGGAGGTTGTGCACCTGATGCCTCCAGACCATGTCCAAAGGCCATTTTACAGTGATCTCTTTGAGGAGAATAATGCCCAGTTCATTTAATTTTTTTTTTTTTTTTCTGAGAGGGGCTCAAAAGATCAGTATTTTTTCTGAGTTACAGACAGTGTCCCTAAAACCCACATGAAAGTGCAAATGCCACAGTGTTTCCTCATTTGATCTTGCTCCAAGTCTTGCTTGGACTCCCCACCACCAGTGCTTCTAGTCAGAGAACAGCTGGGGGGACTTTTGTGCTGAGACAAAAGTCTTCTCCCATTTCCCATGGGATGGCATTTCTAGATTTCAAAGCTTGTTGTGTGTGTTATGTTAGGAAACAGTGGAATGAGAAAAAAAAGGTGGAGGGGATGTTCCTATGTGGTTAATAGCCTGCTTTTGCTCACTGAGCGTGGAGGGAAATGAGCTTCCTGCTGAAGGTGAGATGTCATTTTCTGGATGGAAACCTTTGTGTCCCGGCTAGGCTGCTCCTTTCGGTGCCACTGCTCGGGGGAGGTCTCTTCCAGTGTGACTGCTCTCCCTCCCAGACCTCTCCTTTCCTGGCACCTTGCTCCTGCCTTGCATCAGTCCTGATGCTGCTCAGAGGAGTGGTGGGGTCAGCACAAGGGAGGGGACACCACCATATGGCTGCAAATGGGTTGGGAAAGGAAGAGTACTCATTTCGGCACAGAGAGCGCAGTGTTTGTTCTCTCTGTACTCTTCCTCACACAACCTCAAGGCTCAAGCATCCAGGTGGATTTTGGCATTTCACTGCTGAAGATTTCAGTGACAACTCAGTCTGGTGTGGGACCAAACTCACATCAACAGCCCCAGTCCCCTGGGCTGGCCATGCTGAGGTGGACTTCCCACCCAAAGAGAAGCAATTCTCGGGTGTTAGAGCAGGTTTCCAAGCAAGCAAGGTGGGGCCTCACTTTGCAAAGATCTATAAACAGCAGCTCTTTGTCTCCTCTGTTTCTCTTCACACTGAACGTGTTGCTGTTTTCAGAGGTTGGTTTCAAAGTGCTGATTCACAGCCACCAGCCGTATTGTTTTATCTGAGAAGATTAGGGCTGAGAATGTTGTGGTTTTGTAGTGAAAAGGCTCCATTGGAAATAGCAGTGTATCTGACATGAGACTGTTATTTATGCTCAAATAACCATCTTGTTTAAAGATGAGAAGTCTTTTATTTTTTTCCTTTTCAAGTTTAGCTCAATCATGTATGAAGACAAACTCCCACTCAGCCTCCCCTGGCCCCTAATACTTTCATTTCATTCTTCTGCTCATTATTTTATTATTTTGTCCTTGACTGGAACATTTCTCTCGTGCTCTTCCTTACATGCACCATTAAAGAAGGAAAGAACTTACATTTAAAGCTCAAGATTTGTGTAGCTCTTAAGCCATAAATAATATTTTTTACAGATTCTAAGATTATTAAATCCTTCTAGTTAGCCTCCCTCTTATTTTACAGCTCATCTGATTAGAGGGGACATACTCTTGTTAAACTTGATTTAACTACTTCTGTTTTGCTTTTGCAAGCAGACATGAGAAAACAGGACCTGGCTGTATGCACTGGTGATCAGAACATTTGCCATAGGAATGCAAAAAAAAGCTTGCAGCAAGAGAACTCGTTGCTGGTACAGCAAAAACCTTCAGAGAAGTCCGGCAGTTCTTGAGATGTAGTTAACTTTCTAAATACAGGCAAGTCTACAAGTGAAGCTAAAAACTGTTTATCTAGGGAGATAAATGCCGTCAAATTACCCTTTTTTGTAAAGGGCTGACAGGTACAAAATCAGTGAAGGAATACTTTAGTGTGAGGAGATAGTTCTGCTCAGGTAGTGACCAGTTTTGGGCAGCTGTAGGAACTGAACCATTGGGCACTGTGCTTTGCCTCCCCATCTCTGGCTTCTGTTGGTGCCCAGCTTGGGCTTTGCTGAGCCAGGCATCAGCTCTTGCCCACAAATGCAGCCAAACCAGCTTCTGCTGTTTGAAGAGATCCTGATACTGCAGCAATGAGCTGCACTTCTGCTTGATGAAACCTGCTCAGCTCAGACAGTACCTCAGGGGATGCTAGGGAGTCAGGCCTTGCCCGTGTTACAAACTACAAAACTGAGCACGTAGAGAAATAGCCCTACCAGAGACAAAGTGAGTGAAAAGTGCTGAAAAGCCTCACAGTAGACAGCCTAAACAATGAAATTAGTTCCTCCAGTTAGTCCATGGTCATCAGTAAGGCAAATGCCTCTGCCTCCTGGGCCAGACAGGCCAGTGTTTTAATGGTAGGCATAAATCTATTGCATTTTTCTCCTTGTGACCTATCATATTGTGTCAGGCCAATGCATGCTCCAGAGAAGGAGTAGAATTTATGTGTACAATAAAACAATAGAGTTTCAGTGATATCAGCTGTTTGACAAACTTTAATATACATTTGCTATAAAACAGGCAGAAATTACCAGAATGTAATACCCAAATAAAATCCATGATCCATTTGCACAACAGATCTTCAATTTACTTGCATTCATGTGAAAGAGACACATAAAAATGATATCCATGCTTAAAATCTCTTAAAAGCAGTCTGAAAGACCCCCACAGTTGCAAGTGATACCTCAGTACTTAGCTAATACTCATGTTTCGATGGCTTTGCCTTCATGATTCTTCCAGTGGTTCCTTTATGTTTTCTGGTATTTTGCCAAACACCTGTGAATCAGTGCACAACAAATATTCCTGCCATTTAATTTAGCCTTGCACAGAAAGGCTATATTAGGCCTGATGCAGACCTAATCCCAAACCTCTAAAGAGGTTTAAGGCACTCTGGTTTCACCTAATCCCGAAACCTAAACCAGAATCATTGAAAACCTCCATAACACCACAGGAATGGGCAAATAGTGAGTTTCCACTATGAAATTATTAAAAGGACATAGTGTATCTTTTGGATTTGAGACCTAAGCTTTGCCTAAGGAGCTTGGACTGTCCACAATAAAAGTGTTTATTTTGAAGTTAGGAGATTGAAAGGTTTATTTGACTAGAGGGCTGATTTTACCCCTCCTACCCAAAAAACAAAGAGGGGTGATCACCCAGAAGAGTGGAAAATAGGAGAAGGGATGACCAAGTACAAGGGAGGGGAAGCCCAGCAAAGCAGACAAAGATGAAACCCATGTTTCTTTTTAAGCTCAGTCATGGCCCCTTGTGCACAACTGGGCTTTTGGGACCTGAAGTTCCTCACAGCAAACATGTAAGGAGTTATTTATGATATAATAAACACATTGCTGCTGTTCAAAATCAAGGATTTGCTCTTTTAAGATGTCTTACTGATAGGAGATAACATGTAAAAACGTGCTGTAATGGAACTTTCAATTACAGCTTGCATCCAACTGTAATAAATTTGATCTTGCATTAATTCATGTTAAATTAATTAGATTCTGTCATTCCTGAATTCTGGTAACCACCTTATCTTGCCACACAACTCATTGTCTTTGTGTTGTGAAAGGGGTATTTCATTTTCAAGGCAACTGTAGGGAATATTAACTGTACCATATTCTAATAAATATTTAGCCCCTAACAAATTAAAGACCTGAAGTATACTGCACATGTGGTTCCATTTTTCATAGCAATTTATAGCAATGATCTGCTGCTCTAAATCTCTTAATTCAAATCATTTCAGCAAAACATACAGGGAAACACAGGGCTGTACTTGTGCATTAAACAATACAGAATGTATTTATCTGTGCTTAGGATGTTCTTCCTAATGAGAGGCATAACCTCCTTGGTGTACTGTGCTCTCATAACCACCAAATGCCATTTAAAGCCCTTTAGAGCAAGCATTTAGGAATCAGTGTTCCTGCTGACGAGAAATTTGATAGTAGAAGAAAAGCAAGCTCCAGATTTACCTTCCCAAACTCACAGATAATCTCCATGCCTTTGTTTGCATCAATAAGTGGAACAGAACAGCACTCATTTAACAGCACTAGATTTAGTTTAGCTTTGAAAGACCCTGTCTCCATAGGCAAAAATGGTAGGAAAACTCAAAAGCATGTTTTATGAAGTACCAAGCTTTCTAGCTGGAATTAGAGCAGGACAATTTCCTGAAAAACTACATAAATGACACAGCTTTTAACTTCTCGACAGGTGACACAAGCAAATGATGTTTTTTTTGCTTTCCTTGAGTTTTGGTGTAGCTGGAGAGTAACGGGGGCCTGTGAAAAGGAGAGGAGTACATCTCTCTGCACTGCTGTCGTTGTACACGTCTGCACTGTGCTTCCCACCACCCTGCTGAGGGTGAATGGCTACAGTAGCAGGGTGCAATTCCAATCCTACAGCAGTTTTGTTCCAACAATACACACAAGGTTATTTAACTATTGCCTCATTTAGTTCATTTGTGACACCTAACCAGTAACTTCCATGGGGAAACATTTCAGAAGGCAACTTTATTTCTCTAAGAAAGCTCTCCCGCAGGTCCTGGGTAACTTTGACTGCGTTGCGCTGAAAGAACTGGGTCTTTATCCCACAACAAAGCCAAGTTTACAGTGGCTCCTGGAGGAGAAAAATGACTTCAGGAATGCGATAGCCCCATGCATAGCAGAGATAAATGGATGCTAAATGGATGCTGTGCAAGCATACACAGCCCAATGTGTACCCCATTGATCGGCCGTCCCGACCAGGTGGGGAGTCGCCCGAGTCACACACGGACTGGTGACAGCGACAGCCCGGCACCAGCGCCTCAGCTCAGCCCCTCCCGGCTGGTTCAGAGCTCGTGTCTGGCTCCGCGGAGCAGCGGCACGCTCGGGCTCCCGGTGAAGGCCGGGTCCTCCTGGTTACGGATCGTGAGGAAGCGGACAGGCGCCAAGCCCCTCGTAGGACCCTCGGAGCGGGGCTGCTCCGCGGGAACTGCGGGCTGCCGTGAGCGGGAGCTCCTGACGGAGCCCCCACAGCCGCGTCCCGCTCGGTCCCGGCGGCTGCTGGGCCCCGGCGCGCCGG